TGCTTTGTTTATTTTCATTCTTAATGCTTAGTGGCAATAGCACTTAGACTTATATACCACTTCACATTTGCTTTACAGCCCTCTCTGACCTATTTACAGAATCAGCATATTGGCCCCACCAATCTGGGTCCCCATTTTACTGACCTTGGAAGGATGGAAGGCTGAGTCAATCTTAGCCTGGTGAGATTTGAACTGACAAATTGTAGGCAATTCTATATTAAACAACTTTATTGTAAACCAGATTACCAAATTTGAAACAATTAAATGCTACCAATTGTTTTTAGTAGTAATATTTCTTTATTGTTAGTTTCAATCAAAACAGTTAAACAACGAGTTTTCATATGTATGATAATATGTCCTGTCCATTATAAATGGACTTAAAAATATTTTCGAACAAATAATAAGAAATGTATGGTTTTAATATATAATAGTATCCCATGCAGTTAAATGCTGTTTTGGTATTAAATCCTGATGGTTTCAAGACTTAATATACTTTAATTGGCTGAATACGTCTGTATGTGTATGTATATCTGTATATCTGTATACATACACACACTGTATAATAAAGGACAAGATTTGTAAGAAAGTCATTAGCAGAGAAAGATTGGACCAGCCAAGCTCCAGAGTTTTGTGAAATACAAATTTATCCCTTAGATTAAGGGATCCAGATCTTATTTTGCTTTCTTGTTTTAGCCTCCAACCAGGAAAATCTAGATCTTTAATTTCAGTTTTTGATATCAGTTTTTATCTTAATTTCTTCTCCCCTAATTTCTCAAAAACAGACACACTCACACTCACAACATGATGAGCACATAACAACTGTTAAAATTAATAAGGAATAGCAACTTAACGAGAAATTAGAAACAGAAATAATCACAAGGGTATTCTTAATTTTCTATTTCTCTGGAAAACTAGTTGGCTTGTTCAGCGGTCGCCAACCCATGGGCAGTGAGAAAATTTTGGTGGGCCGCAGAGAAATCTCACCCCCAGAGCACCCCACAAAGCAATTAATCCAGGCTGCGCAGAAACACAAGGCTGCACCGCCCACATGGCCTCCCACTCACTCCTTACCTGGTAAACTTGCCTGGTAAATTGCTATTTTTCCTTTTTCCGACCATCATCTGTTCTGCTGTGCCAGGAGATTTACATTAGCTAGGAAGCAGGAAATGGCTGAATTTCTTGCTTTCTAGCTAGTTGTTAGATCTTCGGCTCAGCACAGCTGAACCTCCTTTAGCACTGAAGGTTTGCTTGCAAGCAAACTCAGGGCAGACCACGGCAAGCAAATTTGAGAGACTGAGCTAGCCCATGGCATATAGATAGATCACTGAATGATTCTGTGAGCAACTCTGCCTGCTTTGCCTGATTTTGGGTAAAAGTTGCTCTTTTTTATAAAAAAAATCAATATATAAATATTTATAATATTTACATACAAGCCATGCCAAGCCAATCACATGACTACCAAGCCACACCCACAAATTAGGCCACACCCACAAAACTGGTTAGTGGTCCCTGGGATCTAAAATTATGAGTTTGGTGGTCCCTGACGTCCAAAAGGTTGGTGATCCCTAGGCTAGTTTATTGAGAGTTAATTGAAGGATCTGGGAGCAATGAATTTATGAGGTTAGTAGGGGATAGAAAAAGAACAGCCAAATTTTCTGGCATCTTCCTAATCCCTGCAACGCCATGCAATGTGAATTATGATATATATCATTTTGGAAGGGCAGGAGTATGTAGATAGCCCTAACCTCCAAAGAGAGAATATTGTAGAGGGCGGGAAGCACAGCTGAAAAACTATTCTCCTGGACTTTGCCAGCCAAAATTGTTTGGTAAACAATATCCAAAATAGACGTCTTTTTCTGGGTGGGTTAGTTCTCTCAGGATGAGATAGCTTTTCAGATACCCTAGATCCCATGTCAATACTGACTTTAAAAGTAATGACCAACTTTGAATTGGACCTGAAAGCAATCTGGTAGCCAGTACAGCTTTTGTAACCACTGTGTCGAATCTTGCACCTGAAGAGCCTTCAGAACTGTCCGTGCTGCTGCATTCTGTTGTAATGGTAGCCCTTGTAGAGGGAATTGCAGTTTTACAGTTGACTGTTACTGGGGAGGGGAGAAAATATGTGGAATATCCAATGAAGGTCCCTTCATCATAGATCTAGACTAACTCTTGCTATTTGGCTTTTTCCCAACGGGGTTTTGTAAATTAGTGAGCATAGTTTATTATTCATTAACCTTGAGTATTAGTGTTAAACTTGGAGTTGTCAAATTCCATTCAAATTTTTTTTTTCAAAAGAGGATGCCAAGGCTTGGATTTTCCGAACTCCCATATTTCTCCTGATTTTCTTCACTTGTAAAAACCATATTAAACTTATATTGCATCTTAGCCACATCTTTGTCCCAGGTAAAGAAAGGAGACTCTTTAACAACTCATCTATTGATAATTGGACTGAACAATCAGATTTGATTCTGGCAAGGCATTGCCTGAATATATTCAGGTCTATGTAGTTCTTAGTAGTGGTTTCCTGCCACTACTTTGTAATAAATCCATCCTTCATAGTTATAGAACTCCTGGATTTGAACATGAATTCATGGTACTATATGAGCACACCAACTAGATCAGCCGAACATAGTTTAATCCAGCATTTTGCTCCTCATAACATAATATTGTAGAACATAATTCTTCTGTTGTACAATATTCACAAACAGTAGGTGGAGATAATCTCTTCTAGTATCATCTTCTCTGGTAAGTGGTTTTTGGAGACATGTTATATCCAACCAGAACGGAGTCTCTAAGACTAATAATCCTTGCTATATCTTTTGTTAGAAAAAAATATCCAGTCCTTTAAAGCTGTTCAAGTTAGTAGCTATTGCTCCTTTGTCCCAGAGTTTTGAGAAAAGAGGGGAAACTCCAGTAAAGTGTAATACTCCCAGCAATACATACTGCTTTTACCACCACAAGGATTAAAAATGAAATGCTAAGATTCCTAGAAGCATGTGCTTTCCAGCTACCTTATTTTCTATCCTTTAATGAAACTGAGGTACATACAGTTGCCTTGTACATTGATCCATTGGTTTACATCATCAGATTTATTTTCTTTACTGTTCCATTTCATTATTTTCATTGTTTCCTTGTTCTTGGATGACTAACTCCCTATTACTCACATATTTGTGCAAATTACATGTTCATTGCAATATATTAAAAATGGCTTCTGTTTATAAGGTAAAGATAAAGGTTCCCTTCACACATATGTGCTAGTCGTTGCTGGCTCATCTTCGTTACAAAGCTGAAGAGCCAGTGCTGTCCAAAGACGGCTCCATGGTCATGTGGCCGGCATGACTAAATGCCGAAGGGGCATGGAACACTGTTATCTTCCCACCAAAGTGGTCCCTATTTTTCTACTTGCATTTTTACATGTTTTCGAATTGCTAGGTTGACAGAAGCAGGGACAAGTAATGGGAGCTCACTTCATTATGCAGTGCTAGGGATTCAAACTGCCAACCTTTCTGATTGACAAGCTCAGCATCTTAGCTACTGAGCCACCCCGTCATTTTTATACCAGCATCCTTGTTTCATCTCATGTTAATTATTCTACTCTGAATTTCATTTGTTTTGTTTCTTTTGCCTTATCATACTACATTAGTATTGTTTTCCCAACTGTTTTCACAACAAGCAGATTTGCTTTCAAAAGTCAAATAATATCAGATCATTATTTAATGAACAAAACAAATCTTCTAGACAGAACACAGTTATTTTTATTTTTAAATAAATGAGTGCATTGTTTTATTATAGTGAAATAATTACCTTTGTATATTTTAAAAAAATCAATGGAAGTTATTCTTTGTTTTCTTTTTCTTTTTGGAACATGAGTGAACAATTTATAGCACATAAGATACATAGTTTATGAAGTATGAAGCAGCAGTTTCTTCCAAGAGATTTTTTCCAAAGATCAGGAATGTATGGATGCATAAATCATTATTGGCACTTTCTTCTGTCTTCTGTCTAAAAATTATTTCATAAATCTAGCTTTCCTTCATGTATCTCTGACAACTGTGAGAGCAAATCAAGCACCAAAGGGCTAAACAATGTGACACATAAAATACATACTGAACATTTTGTCTTTAGAGTTTTTATTTTTTACTGTAAAAAGTAAGCATGTTAATTTTGATCTGACAAGTCCTTCCTGCATCAGGAGAAACTTAATTTCTTTTGTCCTAACATATTTGATTGTTCATATTTATCTCCTTAGCAAGAATACATTTTTAAAAATCTCATATTTGATCTTAATATGTAATCTCTTACATATTAAAACATGTTTAATTTGGTTGCTGAATTAACCAATTCTAGGATTGCAAAAAGCAGCAGTTGCAAAATAAATAAATAAATAAAAAATCAATGCATAAAATGGTGTTGGATGTCACAACACATTAAGCTACAGAAAATGAATAAAATTTAACTTTAATGAAGGTACATTCTTACAATCCTTTGGAAACTGCCTTTTCCAAATTCCATGAGGTTTGACGGAAGCTTGATAAATTGTTATGGTTTTTGACAGCTCTGACTCAAAAGGCTGACATGCATCTCAATATAAGTTGAGATACCCTCAATTGTATAATCTGATGTATAATCAGTAGCATTCTTATACTGTCCTCTACACATAACTGAATGCTTACCCATTAAGTTCATGGAAATAGGAATCCTGCTAGCTTAAAGTTCTTATCTTTTTAGAGGGCATGCTTGTTTATTTCTGGTTGATACTAATTTCATTTTTGTTAGGCTATTTGGCATTGGGCTAAATATTGTATCTTCCAGCGCATTTCACTAGTTTGATACCATAGATATTTTGTGGGTTGGAACCAGCTGGGTGCACATAGTTCTCCTTAAAATCTGTACGATTTAGATTTAAAACGATGTCATTAGATGATTAGTTTAATGTATTTTACAGTAATATTTTAGAATAATAGCATTCTAATATATACTTCCTTTATTTTTTTCCCCAGCTAATAGCCTAATAACAATTGGATTATCAGGTAAGAAGCTTGGTATTTTCTATCTGTATTATTCTTTTTCATTGTTTCTCTTTTTAAAAAGGCAGTCCTTAAAAGATTGATTTCTGACACCTTTATTCAAAGTATATATATTACACATAACTAGAATAAAATATAAAAAACATGATGCTGCTGGGAATTAAATTTCAATATTTACAAGGACTGCCTCATATATGACTGTTTGGAGAAAAATCAGAGAAAAATGAGAAAAATCAACACAATTTTATAAGTTGCAGTAACTTTCATTTTTCTTTGAATATTTAGCTTAATAAATTGATACTGTATTTCTCTAAGGAAAATATATTCAGCAGCAATATTTTAAATGAATAGTGGTCAATTTTCTTCATGCAGATTTTATATTTGCTTAACTGAGGTGTAAATAAATAAATAAAACTCTGAAGTGATAGTCAAACTGACTAAGCAGATGCTTTTATTATAGACACAAAGCAAGTATCTCTCAGCAAATCCTATCTCAGGTCCTGGCATCTGCAGAGGTGGTATTCAGAGGGTTCTGACCAGTTCTGGAAAACTGGTAGTGGAAATTTTGAGTAGTTTGGAGAATCGGCAAATACCACCTCTGACTGGAGATTTTACAGTATCCTTCTCCTGCCATGCTCACCAAGCCACGCCCACAGAATTGGTAGTAAAGAAAATTTGAATCCCACTACTGGGCATCTGCTATTAATTCCTATGAGAAAATAGAAATATGTAGCAAAAAGGAGAAAAAAAAAAGCAGCACTGGATACTACCATGTTTCCCCCCCCAAATAAGACCTATTTAGAAAATAAAAAATAAGGTAAGTGCAATTAAGCTTAGTTAGTTCCTTTATCTTTATCTTTATACATATACTTGTCTAAGTTTGAAGTTATCTTATTATAATAAATTATGTCCAACAAGGCTATTCAAATAACTGTGCCCTACAAGGCTGCTCAAGTTGCTGTAAGTATTGCTGCTCAACTGTGCTATTCATTCGCACAATACTCATGCTGTCAACACAGATGATCAGGTTGTGTTAGAGTGGCCTGGGAAACACTCACAGCATCCCTACTCCAACAAGAGTCATCTCAAAATTCGGGCTCTCAGTTCATTCCAGTCTTCTCTTTATACGCAACTTGTTTACTCAAAATCCATGTATATAGTATGTATTCCCCCAGCCATGTCAGGAACTTTACATCCTCACTGTTTGTTCCAAGACTCCATTACATTCCATACACCCACTGTACTTGTTATGACCAACAATAAATCATTCATACATATACTCAACATCTTTCCTTATCAATAGTGCACACATTCCAGCAATGTGAATTTCCCAGTGAGTTCATGAAAAGCCTAACTATAGTTGTATTACTGGTTATCTATATTTATAACTTATATTTGTGATATATTCATAACATATAACATAAAATATGTTACAGCTGCACTGGCAGCAGACGGAGACAGAGGCCCAGGGGGAAGGCAGGCAATCCAGACGTGCCACATAGACTGTGGCAAAACTAAGAATTGATGGTCTGGAACAGGCAAGCTGGCCATGGGAGGCTTAACTTTGCGCAGTGGCATCAGTAGCAGAGACAGAGGCACGTGTGTGTGTGAAAGCAGGTGATCAGAACATGCTGCATGTGCTGCAGAAAAACCAAGAGTTGATGGGCCCGGCTAGCTGGCTGTGGGAGGCTTGCCTTCGTGTCTCTTGGCTTCCTTGCTGCCCACACGGAGCGTCAGGATTGTCTGTCTTGCCCCCCCCCCCATGCCTTTGCCTCCATCTGATGTCACCACCGCCACACAAAGATGAGCCTCCTGCAGCTGCCTGCTGGCTCAAGCCCATTGATTCTCAGCTTTCAGTGTCTGGATTGCTTGCCTTTCCTCCTGTACCTCTGCCTTCATCTGCTGCCGGTACTGCTAAGATGAGCCTCCTGCTGTGCCTGCCCACTCCGGCCCACTGACTTTCAGCTTTCCCGTGGCCAGTGGTGGGATTCAAAATTTTTAACTACCAGTTCTGTGGGCATGGCAGGGGAAGGATGCTGTAAAGTCTCCAGTCAGAAGTGGTATTTGCCGGTTCTCTGAACCACTCAAAATTTCTGCTACCAGTTCTCCAGAACTGGTCAGAACCTGCTGAATGCCATCTCTGCCTGTGGCCCACATGGTGCATCCAGATCGGGTGCCTCCCCCTCTGTCTGCTGCTTGGGTAATCAACTCACCTGCATTATGTGGCCTGCACAGTCTTCTGAGAGACTGGTGGGCTGTAGCTGCTGCCGGACACCATCACCTCTTATTCACATGCTGGGGTTGGCGCACCCAGCCAGGCTAATCACCTTGATATTGTGTTTCCCTGAAAATAAGCCCTAATGCGTCTTTTGGAGCAAAAGAAAATATAAAACCAAGTCTTACTTGGGGGGAAACATAGTATCTGTCAAAATCTAATCCCTTTTCTTGATTAATCATCCATACCTCAGGTCCCATCAGTGCACAGATTAAGTTACAATTTCTTACAGTTTTCATTTAGTTCTTTATTTCTTGCTACAAAAGATTCTAGTGAATACAGCTTGACTGAGAAAAGATAAACACGGTCAAACCTGGTTAGTATATTCCTTGGCTGTAGACTATGGGCCTTAGAATAGACTGGGAAGTTGAAAAAAAAATCTCAAAGTAAACTACTTTCTAACTCTTAACCCTAAAAGCTGTATTCAGCCTGACAGAAACTTTATTTGTTATTTAATACCTGTTGTTCCTATATGACAAATCTAAATTTATTTGGATCAATCACACTTTAATATAATATTTAGTATAATAAAAATGATGCTTTTGTGAAGAAGAAAAGTAAGATATAATATATAATATATAATATATATATATATATAATA